ACCTAAAAAGTAGTACATATCCTCATAACACATATGTAAGCATACCGCTTTCTTCTTGCCACATATGATGAACTCCAGAAAGGACAGCACATTATGCTGATACAACAGCAGGCACGCGCGTATGGCCGATACACTCCCCTGACCTGTCAATGAAGTGCAAATATATGATATATAAACATGTGTGTGATACACATCAGTTTAACGCAAGAATTCACCAATTGGCCAAAATTAGCAATGTAGTAAAGGTGATGGGCCAGTCCAATATACGATTCATAAACTCAAAAGCTCGAGAGTTATATGTCCATATGCCTTGTATGTATGTGTATCTGCAATGTACGTATCAAACACAAACCCGCACCGCACAGATGTGATTCTCCCATAATTCGACAAATATACATTTGTATCGATCTCATACCCAATAGGCAATCGGTGTGTGCATAGACTACGATACACGTGTGTATGTACACACTATGCGTCGCTGCGTGTGTGTATACATATGAATGTAAGAATATACCCTCACAGAATACGTGCCAACACCAGTTTGGCCATACCTTGCTTCCTACGTATCATAGCACTGCCCTCGTTTATAGCCTCCAGCCAACTCACTGAGTTGTAAGGTGCACTTGAAGCAACAACCTCGACGTCGATATCTTCTATACTCAGTCCCTTGACTACAATTCGATCATCTGCGTTGATAACGGTTGAGTCAGAATACACTGGATATATGAACTAATTGACTGGTCGTTTTCTTTTTTGCACACTTTTGTATATCGTATTGTCATATGTATGTGTCAATAGATAAAGATGAAGTCATATGCATGTGCCTATATGTATGTGCCTACATGTATGCTAACAAGTAAAGATGAATGTTGACCATCTACGTTGTATCTCACTCTACTCCAAATACTCACGTGGCGAAGCCATCAGACCTCCGATTTAGTACAAACAGTTCGTAAGACAATCTATAGACACGCACACACCTTTTAAAGACGACTGGACGGCTGTGACATTGAATAGAGGTGCAAAATGCAGCAGCTTGTACGGCTTGACATTCGACACGGCAGACCCCCCACTAGACCCTGAAGACGACTTCGGGGCTGTACTCTTATTGATCTGTGCTATTAATAGCAAATCACTCAGAAGGAACATGCGGCAGCGTCTGCCCTGCGCGACCACATCGCTTTGGAAGTATAGGCGACGGGTTGTATCTTTACTTAGGTCCTACAATCCGTGGATTCCAGGACGGGAAGGAGAGAGAGGTTGGGGGGGGGAAGAGTTAACAAACAGATAAGATCGGCTTTAAATGCTTGTGTACGTGAGCGCAAGATTGTATCGATAAAAGTGATGGGACGACGACACGTGCTTTCATATATTCAAATGATATATATTACTCTGAAACGGAAGGGCACTACTATCAAGGGAATACTAGCGCTACGTTTGTTCAGGTTACTTTGTCTAGGTTGTATATAGTGTCACATGTTGATGCATTCTATAACGGTATAGATCCTCCGCTGTTTGCCACCACCGTACACTTAGTAGTAGACAAGAACATAACAAAACATACACACTCGGATTCGGTATAAACCCGTGTACGCGATTAAAAGACTAGTATAATACAAGTATTTATATA